AAATCTGTGATTGTGAGTGTAGAATTTGCATAATTGTTATTTTCAGTCCAAATGGTAAATTTGAGTAGGTTTTCCTAATAGCTCCGAGGTGTAAACTGCTTCTATTGTTTCAGCGTCAAATGTTTTACAAAATAAAATCATAAATTACTCCGTTTGATCTCTAATTACGTTAAATAACAGATATTTTTACTCAAGTTTTGTGTTCAAGACACAAATTTAAAACCTTTCATCAAAGGGGCAAAGGGAACATTATGTAAAATCCACTTTTTTAGTTGTTAATTACATTTTGTTGTGTACATGAAGTTTCTAGCCATGAAGAAAAGTTTAATTTTGACTCTCTCTGTGCTGCATAGATATCTTTATATTCTGTGTGGATCATATTCAGTTTTCTTTATTTTCTATGAAGTTTTCTGAACTATAACATCACAGGATTTGCAACAGAACTGCAACAGTTAGGGAAATGTGAAAATCTGCCAGATAAATTCTTACCAAGCTGTTTCTTCACATATATGTATGTACATGTGTGTTTATAATATGTATTAATATTGAAATTCAGCTCCTGAGGGAAATCCTGAAAAAAGCCCTGCTCAAGTTAGGGCACCGATAAAAAATAGATTTTAAAAATTGGGCCTTAAGTGTGAGGGGTCAAATCAGGATTTTTTTTTCATGATTCTGAGTTGATTGTAAGCATATATTTCACCATAAATACTCCATAAAGCTAAATTTGTCTGACCCAGTTCTGGTGCACATAATACACTTTCACTCGGAGCAGATACCACAAAGACTGATGGCCCTTTTGATACTCTAGGTTTATTTTGCCAGAGGTGGTCCATGCATGGCCGCATCACAAAACCCAAAACACAATCGAGCCAGTAGTGACACTAATAGATTTGGGCCACATAAACCAAATGGGCCGGTTGTGGAATGCCATCATATATAGTTCCATCATTGCCAGATCTGGCCCACATCCTGTTGACAAACCACTTGCCATGGCAGCAGTCAGCCAGCAGTGCCAGCTTGACGCCAGATCTGGCCCAAACCTTTTGGCTTTGTTGGACTCTGTTGAAAAAGTCCACGCTCAGTTTTACATTTATATTTGCAGTAGCTTTTATTTCACATATTTGTAGAATACTAAGTTATTTTTAATTCACTGTTAGGCAGGGCAATATGGCAAAAATATATATATCTATGTATGTACAATTTAAGCATTTCATATCAGTTGGTACTGATAATTATTGATGAGTTTTTTGTTTTATCCATTTGAAATAAGGACCAGGAGAAAAAAAGTCTAATTAATACCGCCAAACTGGTGACGTGACCTTTTCTCTTTTATTCACAAATTTCCTCTTGAGCTGTTGAACTCATTTTCTCCTTTCACTCCACATCATTCTATTAAAAAATTTTAAGCAGTTATAAAGCATTGTGGTGAAACCTTGCTTAGCTGGGCCATGAGAGGTCAAGTGGCCAAAGCCTTTTCTCTGCCTACATCCCCCAGAATGCTGTGCAGTTCAGTGAAATTATTGGACTAACCTTTTATTTATACTGATCATGTGTCTATCGAGATATAGTAAAAGTTATTGTCTTCTTCAGACTCAACATCATGACTGCAGTTTCTGTATGTGATAACTTTATGGACTACAGAGCGAGATGCACATGGCCCCATTTTATTGCAGTTGCACCACCGTTGCTGCAGTCTCAATAACAATTACAACTCATGAACTTCAGTAGCTCAGGAGCCATAAGACACATGCTCTGTTGAAATATCCAGTCCTGCCTCTGCAGATATGCACAGAGTGAATGTTGTGCAGCTACATTCTGTCAGACTTGGTCAGGTGTATTTCCACACATAATGGGGCTTGCCATAGATCTAGATTATAGATTTGGGTTAAAATGAATGTCAACAACAGCTTCCTTAAAAGCATGAGTAGAGATAGTGCCCTAGATACTTCTGGCAGCACACAAAACCATTGTGAAAGAAACCAATGATCAGATCAATGATGAGTTTGGGATTGATGCTGCACTCCAAGATCAGTCAGTGATGATAGCCAGTGAAAGTGAAATCTTAAGTACTGATGAGTTGGTCTTTATGGAGGTTGGGGAAACGATGCAGCCACTCAGTTTTGTTGGAGACAATATAGATTTAAACACTGTCTATGTGCATGGAAACACTCCCTTCCACTCAATGGGTTGGACCAAAAGCACTTCTCCAGCACCACCTTTGCCAGATCCACAGACATGAGCAGCTGTCCCCAGAGCGAAGCTAAAGGCACTCAACAAAGCTAAAATCCTGAGAGGAGCTGACGTCTTCGATTTACTAACAAGAAAAAGACAGGAATAAACACCATCAAATTTCTACCCATCACTGAGCTCTCCTCCTGGCTCGTGACCTCACTCAGGTGATACACTCTGGGGAGCGGAGTGGGTGATCAAAGCCCAGGATCCTGAGTTCCCACACTCTGACTGGAATGGCTGGATGAGAGAATCCATGCATGTGATGCAAAGCAGAGCACACAAATTGATTTCCTCCCAGTCACTGAAGGTGACCCTAATGACATTAACACCATATTTACCACTGTCAGAGTGCATACGGCTCTCTGCTGTCATTGTAGTGACTTTTGATCCTCTGATTTGGCTGAAGACTGTGGACTTCATAGAGTAGGCAAATCTACCAGACATTTCAAGGTTGGGTGGACTTCACTTGGATCTTGGATCAGTGGGTAACGTCATGCAGGATTCTGGACTACTACAGGTGGTTCAGTTGATTTATCCTGGACATATGACAGCCAACCACATCATGGATGGAGGGTGTTTTGTTCTCACCTCCTCATCGATGCAGCCATCTATCAGCACATTATGAAACTTGCCTTCACTGAGGAGGAGTGTGGTGACATGAGGACCTTCATGGAGAAGGTGGTTGATGGAAAGCTGGGAGCTAGACATACAGACTAGTGTTGAAGCAGAGGTTTGAAGATTCCCTAAAAAGACTTGCTGGAGGCATCTGTCCTGCATTGTAACCAAGATGTGCAACATCTTTGCCACTGCAGGCCATTATCAATATGCCAAGAGCACATAATTGTACTTTCAACTCATCAAGGAACTCAAAACTTTACCGGGTTACGAGTACACCTTTGAAAGTTTCACAGACCACTGGAACTATGTTGTCTGCTACTGCAGCCATGGGTATTCCATCACTTGGTGTGACATCTGCATTAAGAAGTTGTTAATGAAGACAGCTAGACTTTGGCTCGAACGTGTAAGGCTGGATGGACAAGTCTTTCGTTGTTGACATCTTTTAATCATTTTGTAAATTAAAAGTTTCTGCACCGCTATATTGTCATAAATCCCTCTTATCAATCTAAAATAAACTGCTCTGGAAGCTGGAGGAGCGTGGGGTGTGAAGTGTCTCGTTTGGATTTCGAGAGACAGCGTAGAAACGAGTTGACACATCTCAGAACGGGGTGAAAAGCTTGTGGAGCTCCAATATAGAGGAATTCWGACCAAAGCATTGCAGTTCCACTTTATATAGACCCCAGCTGAATGATTTAAAGGAGAACCAATTATGGGTCCTAGAAATTTTTATGGTATGTCTGTGGGCTATCCAGACCATGTTCATTCAATTTAATGCACAAAATAATTCTCAGATAATAAAATTTCCCATTTTCTAGTTCTGCCTGCTCTGACTTCCTTTCAGAAGAGCTGTTTATGTTAATGAGCTCTGTTGGTAACGCCCTCCAAAAATCTGTTGRCATTAACTCTGCCCTCCAAAGCCAGCGTTTACGTTAGCATGGCTAATAATAGTAGAAACTCCGTTGTACAACCATATGAGAGACTCAGAGGCAGAGTCGTGGTTACAGCTTCTTTTTATTTTTTCTCTCCCTCCTCTGCTCTGCGCTCACTCTGTATGCTGTTACCAGAGCAGGGAGCAGCGCGGTCAAAATACCTCAGAAAYCTGAACAAATAGGCTTTAAAAGGCTTTGATAAGCTGAACAATAGAAGTACAGGTCTCTAACCCTGGTCTCCCACTCTCTGGTCCAACACTCTACCCATTGCCCTATTGGAGGCTTGTTGTTAAATGAGCTGCACTGCACAACAACACGGTGACGGCTTTTTATATTGAGGAGGTGGAGTCTCACCYGGGGGTTGCTAGATAAGGGGCTGAACGCAGGTTCTGGTGGGTTGTCGTACGGCTTGCGACATCACAAAATGACGGAAGTATAAAACTTGTTGTTAATATACATTAAAAATACATTTACTTACAGTAAATATGCCCCTGGGTGCATGTTTTTTGGTCCTAGGACTGTTTTTTGAAGAAGTACATACCCGAAGTTGAGTAAAAAAACATTTAAAAAGTGAATTTTGCATAATAGGTCCCATTTAAATGTAATAAAGAAGGATTTAGAAGCATGATGTGTCTCTGTTAATGCCAAATTGGAAATTTAAAAACAACCAACAAAATGAATGCAACTTACATTTTTGTAAAAAAAAATTTTAGAAACACTTTTTTACATAGTGTAATTCTAATAAAACAGTACATAAGAAGGGCGAATTATTAGGCTGGCTATCAAAACCTCTTGAACGGCTTCCCATTCTGAACTACAATTGGATCCTAATGTGACACACTTAAGCTCATCACAAAACCAATACCAATCAGTGATGTCCTTGCTGCTAAAACGGCAGCTTGTTTAGATATTGATCAAACTGCGCTGCTGATGAAAGTGTGCCACTAGTTGTTTTACAATATTGATTAGTTGGAAAAAAGAAAAAGGTGTTTTGGAGGGGTTTCGTTTGCCTTTCATTTTGTTTTGCCGCTCAAACTCACCCTTTCTTTTGCAAACGGTTTGAGGAAAAACTTTGCATCGACGCTTCATCAAATCAGCCAATTCGTAGATTATTTGCTTTTCATTAAAATACCCCATATTATTCAGATTTTGAATCAGTGTTAGTTGTTGGATTGAGAGTTCCCTGTGTTTTGTTGATGTGTCGTCTGTTTATTATTACAGCAGCTGATGAGAGAGCGTCAGCAGATGGCCAGTCGTCCATTTGCATCCGTTGCTCTTTCGCTGGAAGCCAGAGGAGAGCTAACAGAAGTCCTGCAGCCCATTGTTGATGTGAGTCCACACTGCTTACAGCTTACACACAGGTGCTTTAGTTTATGCTGTTTTTTTTTCAATCACTTTCTGAAAATGGCCAGCACTTTTATTGCAACACTTTTAACTATAACAACCTTCGCCTCTTACACAAACTCATCCTTACATCATTATTACCCACATTTTGTGTTTACCTGCACTGATATCTTATATAAGCAGACTCATATTTGTGATTTGCTCTTAAAACATCAAGGATATTTAGTTTTCTTCCGAATAAGCTGTGAGGACCAACATTGAGTCCTCAGCCAGGCACAAGCTCCGTGTCACCTGCTCCTGCAAGAAATAAAATCACTTTGGCAACCCGCAAAGAGGCACCACATTAGCAATGAGTGGTCTGCTGAGTGGTACTCACAGGGCATTACGGTGTTGTGAAGGGCAATGGAAAGTGCAAAAGAGGAGAAAAACAATGCTTCTCAGCTCTCTGAGTGCATCATGCTGTTGCACTTTCAGAGCATCAAAGCAGTGTCAGAAACGGGGCTTTGCTTTGATTAAACTAAAATGCTAATTAGGTTTTCTCGTTGTGCTATGTGTCCGTGTGGCGTTGGATGGTCTATTCCGGCAGCGGTCCTTGCTTCCTCTGCACAGTTATCTCAAGGTTGCTTTTCTGCGAGGCACAGTGAAGTGCAGCCACTCAGGAGTTGGGCTGTGAACGGTGTTCCAAGCAGTTTTTGACAATGATTATGGTCTGCAGTCCTGTGTTTCTTGACAAGATGTAACGCGAAAAAGAAACCTGCGACTTCGTATGCTTCACTTGGATTTCCAGTTATTGCTGCAAAATAAAAGACGTGACCTTTTGGGGAGAAAAGGGTCCTTACATTTATACCACCGACTAAGGTTTTAAACAACACATAATTATAGTTGTCCTCCAAGGACCTGGACTTTGTTGTAATTTCCTTAAGTGGCCTTGATCAATAGTTCTACAGGTTTTTCTGAAGGTCTTTCCAAGTTTTCCCCTGTACTCTGACTGTTTAATTATTCACTGTCCAGTTCTTTGACCTGACCAGGACAGCATCTTATACAGTGTGTGCTTAACAAAGCAGTGGAGGATTAAAAAACAAAACAAAACAAAAAAAGAAATGTCAGGCTAAAAGAGCTGTCTGTAGACTTTTGAATATCAAGGGTAAAAAAAATCATCAAAAATAAATCAGAGAGAAGCAGTAACTTTCAGCTTGGTTTTCAGCTAACAGCATGTGTAGCGTCTTGTTGGTGTCAAATTCTTTGGTTTTGTGTCCGACTGTGTTTTTGTGGTATTTTTCCACTTAATTAAAGAAATGGAAACAAATTGTGTATTTGTGACAGTTTGCTAATAACAAAGTGCCCATTTAAAATTTATTTATTTATTTATAAGTTTTCAGGTTTTTTTCTCTACATAACACAGGCTCATCCTTTAAGTTTAGGACCCTGTAAATGCCACAGTGAATTATGAGCTGGAGGTAAGTGGCCTAACAAATGAACGAACAAAAAAATTGTCTGAAAATGATTCATTCTTGGCCAGAAAAATAACTAATAAAGCAGCTAAAATCTAAAGCAGAACTTTGAAAGAGTTTTAGAAAATTGTGGATCAGAACTCCAGACACTGGTTCTTTGGAAGTTCGAGACCCTTGAGCTTTTTGCCGCAGAGGAGAAAATAAAGACAAACTAAGGGCACAAAGACCGGCTAAATGTATGCAACTGGATATAACCATGGTAAATCAGAGGTCATATTCAGACCTGATAATTTGCTCCGCTTTAAATGAACCAGAGTTCGTTTCCAGCGTTGGTCCAGACCTTTTGTGCAGGTGTGAATACACTCATACGAACTCTGGTGCGG